GGGCCTGCTTTTGCCCTGAGTGACTTAATGCCTTTACTAAGTAAGGAGAAAATCCAGGGTCAGGTAGTAAGGCCAGGTTTTATTCACCTTGCAACATTTTATCCTTTGTGCTGAGCATACAGTACAAAGTAGGTTTTGATACATATGCAAGGAATGAAACCGAGACTGAGAAAATGACTGTTAAGTATTTGATTGGTCCTTGTCAGCCTTTATTTCATGGACGGGACTATCCCAAGGCTGAAGTGTGATGTTGACACCAATCCCATGTACTTCTCCCAGGACACCGTCAGCTTCTAGTAGGAAGGAATGTTTTGTCTAGAGTAGAAAGTGGCCTTCACCTTCATTTGCATCTATGTAACTTGACTCTGCTTGTAGGTGGCTAGGGCCCAATATGACCCTTGGGCTAGGCATTAGATTACAGCAGGAGCCTGTATAATCAGAGTAGAACTCTGCAGAGGACTCTTAATTGGACAAGGAGAACCCTGCATAGGGCTAGAGTGCCGAACATGTTGGGAGAAACCATGTGGCCAAACTATTATGTGCTTCTTTGCTGACTTAGGGCAAGGGATAAAATTTATTTTGTCACAGCAAATTAGGCTTATGAGCTTACCTCTCCTCTTTCCTTAAATATCAAGAAAATGTCCAAAGAAACATCACTTATTTACCCATCCTCTTTCCCACCTATACTTTTGAGTGCCTTCTATGTGTCAGACAGAGGTGTAGGTGCTAAAATAATTGTAATGGGGCAGCAATATTAAATGAGAAGGAAGTCAGTTATGGAATATGAGAAGAACGGACCAGGAAGAGGGATAGGTAAAACTCCGAGTTCAGCGAAGTATTTATAAAACCCTGAACACAGTATGTAAAGGCATAGACATTTCCTGTTGGCAGATGATAAGTCTGGAGAATTTCAGAAAGGGATGAAGCTGATGAGTCGAACTTGCAACAATGCTGTAGAGAGCAGTTCTTAATCTCAGTGTATCCAACACAGAAAATATCTGACTATCCACAACAGAAGCTGGGAACATGTCAGGCTCTGAGCAGTGGGTCTGCAGCAAGTCAAGATAGTGGGTGGGGATTAAACAGGGGACAGAAATATAAACTCAGAGACATAGAACAGGCTCTATATGGTAGAAAGGCTTTGCTAAGTAAAAGGGAGGGGTGTTTTCCTAATGCTAACAGCAAGACCAGAGGGCAGCACCCTGCCCATCCAGAGGCAGTATAGCAAACAGAGGGGAAAAACATGTCAGCGTGCAGGCAGACCTTGAGAGATTCTCTAGTTGGCTTACTCTTCCTATTGGCTTTAGCAGATCTAACTGGCCTCCCAAGCCCATCACAGAATGAGAAAGGTGCTGTTAGGGAGCACTGTGGGAAGGAAACTGAGGGGCACAAGGAACTGTATTTGAGCCTGCAAGGAGCTTGGCACTTGGCTTCAGGGTGTCATGCTAACGATGGGGCCCTGCCTCCCAAGCACAGCATGATCCCTGGTCTCCCTTTGTGAGAGGATTTGATTTTTTCAGTCTGTTCTTGGACTCCATACCCAGGATCCAGAGGAAAGCCCTAACAATTTACCTGTGCCTATCTGTTGACACACAGACAAAACTCCACAGCTGTTGGAACTCCTCAGAGGAAAGCTATCAGGTCAACTCAAGAAAACCACATTAGGAATTTTCAGCTTGGTGTGTCCCAGAATCTCCTAGAGTGCTTACTAAAAATGTGGTTGCCCAGATCCACTGCAGTGTAACTGTATTTTTAATGCTTATGATTGGAGAAGGAATGACTCATGCATTTTTTGAGTGAATTTTCAGCAGCTACTGATAGATTTTAGATGAAGATTGCCTGGGAGATTAAAAAAAATTCAAATGTGAGTCAGAGCAGAGGCACATACTTATAAACCCAACTACTTAGGAGACTGAGGCAAAAGGGTTTCAAATTCAAGGCTAGCCTGGGAAACTTAGCAAGATCCTGTCTCAAGATAAAAATAAAAAAGGCTGGGGCTTTAGCTCCATAGTATAGTGTGCCTGGGTTCAATAATCAAACAAATGAAAACAGCAAAACAAAATCCAGTGTGTTACAGCTGGGAATTCTGAATTAATTTTGGTAGTTTGATTCATCCTAGTGGTTTTAGTATAAGTATAGTCAGGGTTGAAAGCCAAGACTTTTATTTAAAGAAAACGAGCTCTCTTCCAAATTTCTGGGACTAGGAAAAGAGTTATGCTTCTGAGTAGTGATTGGAGCAATGAAATAATGACCAGAAAGGATGATACTTTGATCAATGACTTTTATAAAATAAGAGTACATGGGAGAAATAGAGATGTAAAAATATTTTTTAAATGTGAAAAAATTTGTATCATGTCCTTGGGGAAATTAGAGGGCAAATAACTTCAAAAGAGCAAACAGGTTGCTATAAAAACAAAAAAGAACAAGAACCATCAGATGTCTTGGAAAGAAATATGATTATTAACTGCCCCTCCCAGTACTCAGGTTTTCTCCTGAGAAAAACTCTTGAAGTGTAAAATCACACCATTGAAATCCAGACTAGTGGCTTTAAAGAGCAATTGCAGAAATTATGTTATTTGAATATAGAATACAAAGATGGAGAGATGGAGATTATAATTGAGAAAAAATAAGAGATACAATAGCTTCACCACAGAGGCCCAGAATTCCCGCCACAGGATTTCCTGAGAAGTAAGAATGAAGTGGAAAAAAAAAGGGAAGCAGTAATCACAGAGAAAAAAAGATAATGAAAAAGAAAAAGAAAAGAAAAAAGATTCTGAGCCAAAGAAAGATTTAAATTCTTGAATCAGAATGGATGGGACTCCCTGGGTCATGTTAGAAATATAAGTAAAAAGATAAGAGATGCTTGCTTCCATACTGCTTCTTTTAATGTTAATAGAATAAGTTGCAAGATGTTTTCTGAAACGCTATCAGATTACCATACTGCTGAGAGAGGCTGGTGGAAGAGGAGAAAGCAAGCCTCTAGTTTTAGATTTATATACCCCACAAATATTTGCATGAGTTAGTAGCATTTTTAATTAAAAGATTCAAAGTAACTGTGATAGAAAAATGAACTAGAGTTAAGAAAAAGCCAATCTAAACCTTCACTAGTAAAGCAAAAGTTAGGGAGGAGAAAAAAGAGTAAGAGGAAAGAATGAGATTTTGGAAACATAAAGAATAAAGAAAACAGGTAAAATAAATGATCCAAGCTCACATGCAGTTTTCAATTCAAAGCGAAACAAATCACTAGAAAAATGGATAAAGACACAAGAGCTTGCAAGTCACAGAAGAATGAATACCTAATAATCAGGTGAAAAGATTATCAAGAGCATGCATAAAGAAATAGTGAGATGAGGAATTTTTTCACCAGATTTGTAAAGTTAAAAATATTGCTGATGTTTAGGTTGGTAAGGACATGAGGAAATGGTCACTTTTAAACTGAGGGCATGAAAATATTTGCTGTAATTTTGTTCAGTAAGAATCTGCACACAAATGAAAATTAAAAATTAAAATATACCATTCCAAGTAGCAATTCTACTTCTGGAAAATATATATTAAAGAAACAATTGGACCTGTGGATAGGGATGCTTCCTGAATTATTATCTATTTTATAGAAAAATGACATGATTTCAATATTTATGACTCAGGAATTATTTAAATAAATTTTACTTTACTCATGCCAGGAGTGTTATGTAGGTATTTAAAACAGATAAAGATGTATGTCTATGTGGAAAGATTGCCATGCTATATTGCTAATTAAGAATATAAGACAATATATGGCTATGAATCCAGTTATGTTAAAAGGTAGGATATTTTATATGCATTAAATGATGGATTCCCAAACTTTCTGAGTTCATGGCACCCTTAGTGTCTCATTAAGTTTTTCACGAAATCCCTGAGCTAAAAGAATACCTCATGATTTTGATTATTAAGGTCAACATCAATAACTTGATATGCATTTATGCCCTAGCAACTTTATGAAATACATATATCTTGCAAAAATTATTTTTATTTCATTCTTTAAATAACCACAACATGCAGCCACCTATTGGGCACCGCACATTTTCTCGAGCTTTGAAATCAGGTTGAACCCTAACCCTATTGCCTATTCCATTTTTATTTTTATAAATCAAAAAGTATTCATTTTTCTAAATCACAGACTTGGCTCTGAAAACTTAGATTTGCAAAGATATAACACCGAAAAGGGCGGAATGTGCTCTGATGTTGACACTGAACTACCCTAAGCCAGTAGTTCATGCAATATCTAACAGGAGTCCAACACTATGTGCCCACCATTTACACTGTGCTGGGAGTCCCTTGAAGTGCCCTAGGTGCACTGATGCAGTTGGGAGCCAAGGAATCAGACTATAAACAAAGATTCTTGTTGGGAGATGAGACTGGGCTGCAGGAAGAGAGGATTTCCTTCTTTATGCACATCTGGATAGTTTGAATTTTTCATTATTAAGTATGATGACTTCTGTTAGTTTTTATAAGATTTTCCAGTTTCAGGGGAAGATGCCAGCAAGAAAGCAAAAGTGAAAGAGAACATGAGAGTGACAGGAATGAAAAAGAAACAAATGCTCCAGCCCAGGGGCAGAGGTTATGAAGGCACACCACACTGAAGATCAGTTTCCTCATCTGTTCCACAGTGAGAATAATAATGTTTACTGTTGAGAGGATACAGTGGAAGACACTTACTGTGTGATATGGCCAGTACAGAGTAAGTGCTAGCTAGTATCATTAAATCAGAACTAGGAAGCGTCGAAGGACGGTCCCAGTTGTCATGACATATGAAAGGTCAGAGCAAGGAACCAAGGATCCATGTACAAATCAGAGTGATAAGGAGAGAGAAACATAAGCAAGCAGAATGTCGTGTGGAGGTTTGGAGGCTTCTGTTCTAATGATAGAGTCAAACTTTAAGACAGGGAATAAAGTAACCTCATGAACTTATGGATTTTTGTCTACATCTCTCACACTCAAGAACCTTAAAACATTTTTTTTACCTCATTTCTATGTCCCATAAAGTGATGTCATCGCTGATCCAAGGATTAGATGGCTCTGCTGGCGTTATGAAGGGGTCATATTCCACATACTGTTCCGTGTAAGCAATTAAACTGCAGGAGGGAAACAGAACAAAGGGTGTTGCTGATTTCCTATAAAAATTTTAACTCACTTTCACACATATATGAGAGCTATCACCATATAATTCTAAATTTAAAAAAATGTTTCCAATCCTACTCCTGATAAATAAAACCATTTTCACATCTCCCATTCCAGTCTTGTTATGAATGTATGGGATTTGTATGGTTGCAGTCATAGTACACATGTGACTCTCATGTATTTTACTCCATGTCTTTCCCTGCTTATGTTAGCTTTACTGATACACTAGTCCAAGCCTGCTTGTGTATCACCCTTCTACAGAGTCTATAGGTCTTAAGGCATCGGAAGCATATGAAAGATACCATACTACAGTTCAAGCAGGCCGTCTGTCTGGTATTCCCAAATGGAGCATGTTGTTGTTGTGAAGATTTTCAAATCCTGCAGACCACAAGGAGTTCACAAAAGCAATTTTTTTTTTTTTGGTGCTTGCCAGGCAGGTGCTTATGCCACTGAGCTAAATCCTTGGCCTACATAAGCAATTTTTTAAAACCAACTTATTTCGATTAGTTATAATTTAATTCTCATGTCAATCTAATACATAATGAAAGTCTAAAAGTAGTTAACAATCAAACGGTTCTAACTGATTACTCATATGTGTGCAAAAAAAGCAAAAGCAATGATTGTTTTCTCCATCCCTTCTCACAAAGCTATTTTTTGCTTTCAGTTCCTTCTAGCATTTACTTGTATATTTCTACATTAGATGGTTTTGTAGCTATCTTATCAATTTTAGGCAAGGATTTAACTATCTGTTCAGTAGTCACCCATACTCCAGTCCCCACTCTCCACTGATCTTTCAAATATAATATATAACAATTTTTGCTAAATTAATAATCAGTGTCCATCTTATTAAGTTAGATTTGCTTCTCAGCTCAGTAGCATATTACTTTTTCTCAAGTTTATTTTTTAAAAACAAATTTTTAAAACATCTAGCATGATTTTTTCCACATCTTAAGCATATTAGCTGATCAATCAATTCTCTTGCTTTGTTTTGTTAGGAAGGGTAATTGCCTAGTGTCTTAGTTTTCTCATTGCTGAGATGAAATACCCAATACCCAAAGTTAAAAGAGGAAAGGTTTATTTGATTTGCAGTTTGTAGAGGTTTCAGTCTGTAGTTGGATGGCTTCAAGGCAGGGTGGCAAGGGCAGACAACCTTGCAGAGGAGAAACAGTTCATGGTGGGCAGAAGGAAGTAGCAAAAGACCTTAGTAGTTTCTTTCTGTCCCTTTTATAGTCTATCTAGGCTATGAAGATTAGGGCAGAACCAAACAATTGATGAACTGATAATCACATTCACTTAATCCCAGCACCACACAGTCTAGTTTCAACCATCTCTGAAAAAGTCCTGCCAATGACCTCATGAAGCTTTGGGGGTACATCTAGACACAAACCATAACACCCACGCTAGCTTTGAACTTGCAGTCCTCCTGTCTCTGCCTCCCAGAGTATAGTTTCTCATTTTATAAATAAAATCTATCTCAGAGAATATTAATTCTGTATTTTTATTGTGAATTTGTTCTATTTATTGAATTGCTTTTGGTTCTTCCAAAGTCCTTTCTTCTGTTTGTTTATGTGAATTACTGTACACTTTTTTCTCGCTGGAGCTTTCTGTGTGTCTGGAATATCTCTGTGCTTAAACAGAGTGAAGTTCTGAGAAACACATGGGTGCTCAGTCTGTACATGAACAGAGCCTATCAACTAATGGGCTTCTTGGTCAGATTACGGGTAACCTGCCAGTTTTTTTCTCTAGGGTTCCAAACAAGAGTTCTGGAGTGTTTCCTCTGGAGACAAATACTTTTATCTAAGCAGGAGTCAGTAAGCTTTTCCTTTCCCTGGATGTCATATAGTAAACATTCTAGGCTTTATATCTAGTATCTGTTGCAATTGTGTTTCGGTAAAACTTTTACATGCAAATATAGAGAATGAAACAGATTCAGTGCCCATCTGGCAGGCTTGAAAATCTGTACAAATAAGAAATACACGACTAAAACCACGATGCACAGTGAAGGCACATGATGTGCCCTGTGAGGGCTTCGTCAGTGAGGGCATTGCAGCACCTCAGCTGAAGGAACAGACAAGGAGGCTCTCAGCAAGGACCCTGGCAAGAAGGACCAGGCTGCAAGTCAATCGCAACCACAAGCCACTCCTTTGCCACTTGGGTTAATTTCATTCTTCATGAAAGAAATGAGGTTGCATGCTGAGGAATAGATTCATTTCCTGCGACTGCTGTAACAAATCACCACAGACTTGGTAGCTTAAAATAATGGAATTTATATTCAGTTTTGGAAGCGAGAAGTCTGAAACCAAGAGCTTGCAAGACTTGTTCCCTTTAGAGGCTTTAGAATCCTTTTTCGCTTCCTCTGGCTTCTGGTGGCTCCCGGAATTCCTTGGCCTGTGGCAGCATGACTTTAGTTCCTGTCTTTGTCTCACATGGTCTTCTTCTCCGTGTCTGCGTCTTTTCTTTTTTATATTGACATATGTTATTGGGCTTAAGATTCTTGTGGATAACCCTGGATGATTTCCTTCTGAGCTCTTTGTTATATATGCAAGATTCTTTCCCCAAGTGGAGTTCTACATTCGAAGTTCCATGGGTTAGGACTAGGACATATCTTTTCGGGGGGACATGTGAGAACGAGCTTGATGTGGGGTTAGGTTGTGAGGGCACACTCAGTCTTCTGTCGCCTTTTTCGCACAGAGAAGCACAACAGACAGACCACTGGCAGGAAAACTAACTCATGTTCAGGGGGTGCTCCAGTGTTGAAGTCATGACACATGGTGGGACGTGCTCTGATTGAGACATTTAGCTTGTCAAGATTTGAGATGAGCCATACAGCTGTGACCCCTCTCCCCTCCCTGGATGCCTGACCTGCCCAGGGTAGTATTCTCACCCTCAGGTGGCTGAGTCTCTCAAATAAAAGACTTCCACTTGGCAACCTAAGGCAAAGCTAGGGTCTCTTTTAATTGGTTAATTACAAATCAGGGAAACATATTAAAGAAATAGATTTTCTTGGAAATAGAACACAAGTACAGAAAAGCCAGATTTTCTCTCCTCCTTCCCTGATTTTCCTCAGATATCCATGAAGCCAAAAAATCGGGCTGTCTGGAACCAGCTTAAGGCAGCAGAATCAAAAGGCCAGATAACCATGAAGGAAAAGAAAAGGGCTGTGTGATGACTCAAATTGTGAGGAAATACAGGCTCTGGACTAGGTCTCCTGTAGAGAAATTTGGGAATTTCTTTAGAGAAGTAGGTGAGATGGTGGTGACATTAATAGTCAAGTTGGGTCAAGAGAAAGTGGTTGACGGCCCAAGGCAGGACTTTGTAACCACCCACGTCAAGAGCCCAAAATACGACTTTGGAATAACTATTAAGTGTGAGCAGATTTTTCATGGAGCTTGGTTCCACAGGGTCCAGGAAAACATCAAGAGGGACTGGGGAGAACATGTCTGGAGGAGGAGTAGGAAATTCCTGACAATCTGAATCAAAGCAAAGAACTAACATCTGTATGATCAATCATCTGTCAGGTAGTGTCAGTCATGGTGTTGGCCAGGAGAGCACTTTATTGTACTGGTAGAGGGAAATTTAATTTGTTAAGTTATATAAATCAAATTGGCTAGAGATTCTGTAAAGGAATCAGTAAAATCACATGGGCATGTGTATTTAAATGCTGTTTTATTGATAGAAGCAGGACCGACTAAATAATCAGAATTAGGTATTAATGTCTCAGGGCTACAAAAGGAGCTCCTAGTCAGCAAGATACTTGGAGTAGAGGTAAGGATGGTAAAGAGGGAGATGATAAACAATTCCATCCTGAGATTCTAAGAAGAAGAAGAGAGAGACTGGAGTGGTACATTTGTTTCTAATGGTACCACAACCATTACATGCACTCAGCAGCTTAAAACCAATGTGCTATCCTCCAGTTTGAAGGGTCCGAGTTTGCTAAGGGTCTCATTGTAGCAGTAGGACAGCATTCCTTCTGGGTCCTCTCCTAAAAAGTCTGTTTTCTTGCTTTTTACATCTTTTAGAAGTTTTTCCACCTTCTTTGGCTCATTGCCTCCTTCTGCCTCCAAAGCCACAAATGGCTGGTTGAACCTCTCTCACTTACTATCACTCTGACATTGATATTTCTGCTTCTAGTCCATCTTTGAAGGATACTTGTAATGTCTTTGGATCCCCCTGAATAAGCCAGGATACTATGCCTATTTTAAGATCAACAGATTAGCAACCTTAACTCCAACTGCAGCTTTAATTGTCTCTCCTTACTGTATAACACAACCTATTCACAAGCGCCAGGCATTTACAATATAGACATCTTTAAAGAACCATTATTCTGCCTATTATGGCTATAGCCTAAAAGGCACTTGTATAGAAGGGAGAAGATGTGGGCACATGGAGGAGGGTGTGATGTCAGTAAAGGATGTATAAAGGTCTGCATGAATGATTTGGGAATGGCAGGGCCACGTTCTATTTCATTGCTACTCTCATGCCCTAGGCAAATAAACCCAGTGTTGAAAAATATCTATGCTCCCTCCTCTGTCCTGCTGGGCACCCAACTGCATGAAACAGACAGAAGACGGCAATGTGTATCTTCTTGGAGGTCCTGATGGGTAACCAGGCTTTTCACAGTCTGCTACCTCAACTGTTTTCCTGGATTTTGTGAGGGTGGATCTTCCTCCAGAGAGTGGCAGAGAGGGTACACTCCAAACCTGAGTGAGCTGAGAGGAAGAGGAGAATACCCTGCACTCAGTGGAGAGGCACAGTGGTCCATCTCCTGTTTCTTCTTCTAAGCATCAGGCTGCCTGCTTGCTTCCCACTCTCTTGTACCCTCTGAACTGGAGGAGCCTTGATCTCGAGTCCTAGAGCTTCCATGGAGGACACTGAGGAAAGAAATAAAGGGTTGACTCTACAGGATAAGATCCAAAGCAGAGAAATGGAAAAGCCTTGATTGAGGTTTATTTCC